AAAAGATACAGTGGTTCTCAAAATTTGAGCATAAAAATATTTTTTTTGGAAATTTTCAAAAATAACTGCGTTGTTTTGTACTTTGAAAAGACTGATTTTGTTTGAAAAACGATGAAGAGCAAATATCATTCTTTTATCGAGATCTACCACTCCTTAAAATACTTGCACTTATTTCTGGGACAACCTGTATATAAGTAAGGGTATTTTTCGCTCGTGCGAAAAAGCTTTTTCGCCTCCGGTTTAGAAAAATTAAATTGTCTTGATTTGGTTTGGTTTGGGTCTGACATCTGAATTTTTACTACAAAATGGCTCAGCTTTACAGGGTTCTTATTTCCATTATCGATACCGGTAATTTGATCTTGAATAGGCTACGATTTTGAGAAAGTTTCTGATTCATTCAGTTCAGCTGATCCTCTGTCAAATACATTACCTTTAGCTTTTCGGGTATATACTTTTTTACACATTGTATAGAAAGAAATTCTCTCTTTTCTGCTACAGCAGCAGCCTCCTCGTCTACACCTGTTTTTAACTGAATGAACCGCGGTCGCCATTAAAACTGGAGCATTTTTAGATTATTATACATATAGTTCTTATCACGAAACTTTTCCTCTATACTTTTGTACATTTGGCATCTTATGTGATAATGCCATGACTCAAACGAAAAAAACCTAGGCAATACCTAGGCGGTGGATGTAGATGTATTATGATGTAATGTTATGTTACAGTCCATAATAAGAATATTTGGATCTTCGAGACATATTAATATTTTATTATCTAATCTAGTTTAAACTTTATTTAACTCTTTTCTGCCGTCTCTGGTCGCAGTAATTTTTAGCAAATTCAGTTTAGCAACATTTTAAAGAACAATTTAGACTTGGTTTTTAGTTCTCAGACTTGGCTTTTAGTCCGTCCCCAACTCGAGCCAAGCATAGATATGTTTTCTCCGTCAACCGCAGAGTTCGTGTCAAATTCGTCTACCTTCTTACAAAGGGGAGTTCGAAAAATATTGCACCGATGCCCCCAGTTGTCAATCTACGCTACCGTATTCTTAGTATACATTTAGATCGAGACTATTTCAATTTACCTAATGCTATTCATTCTTTTTTTTGCTGCCAGTCAGTCATATTTATTAGTTATAAATAAAAGAATATTGCGTAAAACTATACAGAGTGAGTGTTAAATAAGTGCAAATATTTTCAGGGGTAGTATATTTCGACCCCAGAAACACGTCTATGAGGTTTTTTTGCAAAAAAAGATGAAATCGAGCATTTTCTTTTAATTTTTTCTGCATATTTTAGAAAACTAAATAAATAAATAAATACTTTTATTGTCAAAAAAATTTTACAACTTGTAGACAATTAGAACTTTTTAGAACTTTCCGTTCACTGCAAATTTTCCCACGGTATAGTTTCTTACCGTTTTAATATCGAAAAATTGAGGTGGTTCAATTTAAAAAAAAATATTTTTTTTTAAATTGAACGTAGTAAAAAACGCACATTTAAAAAATTTATCTCCGCCACTGGTAACTTACCTTTATTAAAAAGATCGTTTTTATAGGAACTTGTATCCTAATAAATTTTTTGGTCTCGAGATTTATCTCAAAAATGCTTTCATTTGAAGTTAAACACAGAATAGTGGGTTATTAAAACAATCCTCCTAAATTAAAAAATTCGCACCTGCGCCACTGAAATTCTAAAAACTTTGGTTCTTTACCTATGTGGTAGGAAATTTTCTTCTCTTTAATTTTTTACTCGTCACTTTTTTTCCTAAAATTCGTCGTTTTAGAGTTATTGAAGAAAAAGTAAAAAAAGGCCATTTTTACCCCTTGTAGGGGTGATTTGGGGTGACGGGCTCAACGGTTCATCGCTGGGGTTTCAGGATGTTTAAAGATCTACAAAATGAAGCTCCATGCAAAATTGCAGCTTGTCTCTAATTTGTTGAAGGTCACCCATGTAAAACGATTTATCGGCACTGAGCTACAGGGGTGGATGGGCCAAATGGGAAATCGGGAGAAACTAATTTAACAACAAACAACTAACATTAAATTTAAAAAAAATATATTTTTTTTTAAATTTCCAAACTTTAATAACTCGATTGGACTTATTTGAAACTCGATAAAGAAAATATATTATGTTTATTTTATTGAGATCTACCAGCCCTGAAAATATTTGCACTTATAGACTCACCTTGTATAATAAAAATTTTCAAACCGAACAAACAACAGATGTTTATTAAAATTAAGTGTCCCAGAGAAAGACATTTTACAGTGGGTTATTTTACAAATTGGTGTTTATGTTTAAAAGCAACTGACGATTATACTCATGAAAATTGATTAGTTAGTTATGGAGTCACTAAGGTTCTTACGTCACTTTAATTAGATGATTAACCATTTAATTTTTGCTAATCCAATCTTTTTTTGAGCTCTGATCGGGACCGGCCGGCCCACCGGGAATTTTCCCGTTTTCCCATTTGGCCCATCCACCCCTGTAGCTCAGTGCCGATATATCGTTTTACATGGGTGACCTTCAACAAATTAGAGACAAGCTGCAATTTTGCATGGAGCTTCATTTTGTAGATCTTTAAACATCCTGAAACCCCAGCGATGAACCGTTGAGCCCGTCACCCCAAACCACCCCTACAAGGGGTAAAAATGGTTTTTTTTTACTTTTTCTTCAATAACTCTAAAACGACGAATTTTAGGAAAAAAAGTGACGAGTAAAAAATTTAAGAGAAGAAAATTTCCTACCACATAGGTTAAGAACCAAAATTTTTAGAATTTCAGTGGCGCAGGTGCGAATTTTTTAATTTAGGAGGATTGTTTTAATAACCCACTATTCTGTGCTTAACTTCAAATGAAAGCATTTTTGAGATAAATCTCGAGACCAAAAAATTTATTAGGATACAAGTTCCTATAAAAACGATCTTTTTAATAAAGGTAAGTTACCAGTGGCGGAGATAAATTTTTTAAATGTGCGTTTTTTACTTTTTAAAAACATTGAATTAGAAAAATTGCAGTTTTACCAATAATTTCCCATGAAATAGGTATATTGAAAAATTTAAACGTTTAATAACAAAATAAGAAAAACCTTAGCTGAAAAATAGGATAACTTATATTAAGGATAGTCCTCATTCACTTCCACATTTGTTGTGTTCATACATGTAATGCCATTGCATTGACCACATGCCATAGTGCCATGCTTTTTTACAGCCTCCCGAAGAGCAATTGCAATTTTTTTTTTCTAAAACCCATGTAGGAGCAATGGGCTGGTCTGAATGTATTGGAATCATCTCTCGATTTTTCAGATTCCAACCCCAATCTTGCGGTTGGAATTATTTACGGTACCGTTATTTAACCAAGCCTGTACCCTGCGATATTTTCAGATCTGTTTTCTCAATAATTATATAACATATCACTATGGTAAAAATGTCACTGTTGTTTTTGATGGCTATGAAGAGATAGAGACCAAAATTGTAGAGCAGAATTGCAGATCTGCAGGTAAAAAAATGGTACCAATTATTGTACCTTTCTCGAATTTATCTGCAGCGAAGTTACCAAAAGCAGATTTTTTGCCAATCAACACCAACAAATATATTGGAAAGTATTGTTGGAAAATGGAATCAATGTTAAATTCGCTGATGGTGATGCTGATACTCTTATGTAATTACAGCGGTCGCAATAAGTGACAATTTACCAGAAGGGACCGTAGCAGTAGTTAGCGAAGATACGAACATTATAGTGTTACGGATTCATTATTGCCACAAGTGACTGTTTATGATTCGTCCGGGAAAGGTGTCAGAACCAAATAAAATAATCGACATATCGGCCTTACAACAAAAATTGGGGGATCTGAAGAATGTGATTCTTACTTACTTCTTCTTGTCCACGCTATATCTGGTTGTGACACACCTGCACTATGGCATGTGGTCAATTCAATGGTATCACATGTATGAACCCAACAAATCTGGAAGTGAATGAGAACTATCCTTAAGATAAGTTATCCTATTTTTGAGCTAAAGTTTTTTGTTATTTTGTTATTAAACGTGTAAATTTTTCAATATACCTATTTCATGGGAAATTATTGGTAAAACTACAATTTTTCTTATTCAATGTTTTTAAAATGTAAAAAACGCACATTTAAAAAAATTATCTCCGCCACTGGTAACTTACCTTTATTAAAAAGATCGTTTTTATAGGAACTTGTATCCTAATAAATTTTTTGGTCTCGAGATTTATCTCAAAAATGCTTTCATTTGAAGTTAAACACAGAATGGTGGGTTGGAAAACACAGAATGGTGGGTGGGTTGAGAAACAATCCTCCTAAATTAAAAAATTCGCACCTGCGACACTGAAATTCTAAAAATTTTGGTTCTTTACCTATGTGGTAGGAAATTTTCTTCTCTTTAATTTTTTACTCGTCACTTTTTTTCCTAAAATTCGTAGTTTTAGAGTTATTGAATAAAAAGTAAGAAAAGGGCCATTTTAACCCCTTGTAGGGGTGGTTTTGGGGTGACGGTTCATCGCTGGGGTTTTAGGATGTTTAAATATCTACAAAATGAAGCTCCATGCAAAATTTCAGCTTGTTTCTAATTTGTTGAACCTCGGTACCTGTATAGGCTCTGGGCTACTGCGTGTTGATATGAGCCAAAAAAACTGCTCAAGAGTCTTGGTTCTGACTATGGTTCTGACCGAAAAATAGTGTTTTAAGAAAATTTACTCACGAAATTATTGCACATAGTGTTTTAAAGTTAGGTAAAAACAACCCTTTAATTACCCCTGTATAAAAAGCCAAATACAAAAGTTTATACAAAAACTAAGTTTACTACTTAAAGTTGATATAATTATATACAGTTTGCCAAAAAAATCATGAAAATAGGTGTAAAAATAAAGAAAATATAACACTTTAAATTTGAAGAACATTTTTTCCGTTGTGTTTTTTTGCATCTGAATGTACAACATACAATAAAAATATACACCCTAAAATAGGAGGATTCTTTTAAAGATATGTAGGATTCTATCAATTTTCCACACCGACATTAATGTTGCGGGATCCTGAATTGATCAAGCAGATCACTGTGAAAGATTTCGATCATTTTACCGATCACAGGAGCTTTGTTGATCCCGATGCAGATCCGTTGTGGGGTAAAAACTTGTTTTCCTTGAAAGGTCATGTGCTTCAAACCATAATTGTCCTTTTTTAAATAGGTCAAAGATGGAGGGAAATGAGAGCTACCCTTAGCGGTTCTTTCACAAGTTCTAAAATGAAGACTATGTTTGCCTTGATGGACGAAGCTGCTGACAATTTTGTTCAGTACTTTTTGGATAAAAAGGAGGATCTCATCGAGTTAGAAATGAAAGACACCTATACGAGGTAATAGAGCTTATTCAGTATTGTTCCTTATTCGAAAAATATTCTGCATTTTATTGTATCTTGTCCAGATCTTGGCCGATTTTATATCTTAGAATGTGTTTTTTTGTCCGAGTAAAGAAGTATACACTTGTGCAGAAATGTCTATAATAAAGAACTAATATGTAGTTTTTATTTATACTTGGTATTTTAAATCAAGATTTTATTGTCTAGATACACAAATGACGTGATTGCCACGACAGCTTTTGGTATCAAAGTCGATTCTCTAGCTGAACCGAGCAACACATTTTACTTGATGGGTAAAAAAATTACAAACTTCACTGGCATCATCACCACCCTGAAATTTTTGGGTTTCTTTGTTTTCCCGACAATCTTCAAGGTACGAATCTATACTAATATATAAAATCCTTAAGTGACTGACATACTGATTAATCACGATCCTGCTCAAACCACTCAACGCAAGAAGCTCAATTTTGGCATACAGGTTGATTCTAGGGTGTAGAGGTTCGATAAGAAGGGATTTTTCGAAATTCCAGTTCCAAGAGGGTGAAACCACCCTTTAAATATTACAATATTTTTTATTTAAAAACAGTCAAGTTTCCGAAAAAACGCTTAAACACGTATATTTTATTTTGTTTTTTTACATATTTCAAGATTTTTTAAAAATGTATACAGGGTGTTTCGAAAAATCTGGTCATTGATTAATCACGATCCTGCTTAAAGCGCTTGACGTAAAAAGCTGATTTTTGGAAAACAGATTGACTTTAGGGTGTAGAGGTTCGATAAGAAGGGATTTTTCGAAACTCGAATTCTAAGGGGGTGAAACAATTCCTCAAATATTAAAATATTTTTTATTTAAAAAACCGTGAGTTTTTCGGAAAAAACTGTTAAACACGTATATTTCATTTTGTTGTTTTGCATATTTTAAGATTTTTTATAAATTTATACAGGGTGTTTCATAAAATATGACCATTGAGTAATCACGATTCTGCTTAACCTGCTTGACGTTTAAAGCTGATTTTTGGCAAACGGATTGACTGTGGGGTGTAGAGGTTCGATTAGGAGGGGTTTCTCGAATCTCAAATTCCAAGAGGGTGAAAACGCCCCTCAAACATTACAAAATTTGTTATTTAAAAAACGGTGAGTCTTTCGGAAAAACGCTTGGACAAGCATAATTTATTTGTTTTTTTTACATATTTTCAAATTTTTTAAAAAAGCATACAGGGTGTTCCAAAAAGTTGGGTAATTTCTTAACCACGGTTCTGCTTAAACTGCTTGACGTAAAAAGCTTATTTTTGGCAAACGGATTTTTCGAAAGTCAAATTCCAACGAGATGAAACTACCCCTCAATTATTACCAAGTTAGATAATAATATCGCCATATTGTTTTTTCTCATGCTGACATAAATGTGAGAAAATTTTATCCAGTTTGTATGTTAATGGAAATTCTTGCTTTGCTTTATCACCACCATTACAAATGATTAATTCGACGCGAACGAAGTCGCTGGTACATGTTAGTTTCTTATGAAATTAAACATTAAGAATATAAATAAATTATTATTCATTATAGTATCTTATCGCCTTAACACGAATCTGAAGTGCATAAAACATAAAACATTTCTCTTCCATTAGCTTTTATTAACAATGACAATAATAATTGCTATCAGTATTAGAAAAAAAATCAGAACAAAATTTGTTTTCTATTAACTGCGAAATAAACAATTATTGTTTTTTGATTTGAGCATACTCATACCCTGTGATCTAGAGGGTGTGATCGAAGACTATAAGCAGTAGTTTTAGCAATTATTTTACACTTGATAACAGTCAGTGATCATTCTGACCGAAACGTGGTGTTAATCAAAACAAATAAAGACAATGGAAGTTCGAAATCCTTTTCGTTTCAATACTGGATCATTATCATTATGTGTATACCACACATTCAAAGAGACTATGGCAACACTCAAATGCTTTATAATAAAATCCAAAGTTATCTTTTAAATCACATTTAATTGTTTATAATTATTATCAAATTATTTTAAAAGTGAAAATATATTCAAAATTATAGAGCATGATTGGTTACATTCACCCATTTGCATTGATGTTTTTATTTTCTACTAAATTAAGACGCAGTTTTGCAACAATGTTGTAACTATATTTTTAAATATTCATGTAGCGTACAAATAACAGAACGCAGTTTTAATTGACATGCATATAATAATAGATAAATCAGTACTGTTAAAAATATTTTTATAACTAATATCCTTCTAATATCCAACGTCCATATTTAGAAATTGAAAATAGCCTTGCTGGACAAAGATGCTTCTATGTTCTTCAAAACCATCATTAATGAAACAATCAAAACTAGAGAGGACAATCACATTGTTAGACCTGATATGATCAATATGCTCTTGGAAGCTAGGAAAGGCATCAAGCATGAAGAAAATGGGGCTGTTGAAACTGGATTTGCCACAGTACAAGAATCCTCCGATATGGGTAAAGACAAATTTATCCAATTTGCAGGCCTTTTAACTAAGTAAGTCGTACTTTCAGGCAAATTTAAACAGTTAAAGACCTTAACAAACGACGATATTACATCGCAAGCCTTGAGTTTCTTTTTTGCCGGTTTTGACACCATTTCGACAGCTATGTGCTTCGGATCTTACGAGCTGGCCGTTAATAAAGACGTCCAAGACAGACTGAGAGAGGAAATCAGGACGACCTACAAAGAAAACGATGGAAAAATTACCTACGATGTACTCTTGAAAATGAAATACTTGGATATGGTGGTGTCGGGTAAGTTCGAACGATACAAAACAAGGAAATTTTTACCTTTTAATCAACTAACTATGCTTGGCTTTTGCTTCTTAGAAGTTTTTTGAGTTTTAGAATCTGTCGCTTATCTTGTTTTCCGTTATTTATTAGACCGGGTGCGTCTTAAAAGTGGCTCACAAAATCATACATTAGTGTTTTTAACATATAGCCATGGTATTCTAGATTTAAATTTAAAATACGATTTTTTATTAATCGAAAATGTCAGAAGTTGAGATATGATATGGCATACTATTCAGAATTTCACTTTCTATCGAATAAAGTAAAAAAAAACGAGGGTGCCATTTAAAAAACAAAATTTATAGTCATTTCCGGTGAAACAGGAAGTGACCAAAATCAAATGAATACGTCAATCAATCCTAATTTATGTCATATACTTACATACCAAGTCTCGTTTTTTTATCTGAAAAAATAAAAAAGTTATAGGGGTGAGCCACTTTTGAGACGCACCCGGTATACATCAATAAACTCAAAATACACTATTCATAAAGCATATGTCTAAAAAGCAACATAACTGATTAATCTGTTTAACAGAAATTAATCATATTAATCCTCCGATAAAATTAAAAACAGATAATAAAGTATTTACACACATTATATTATGAGCATTATATTACAACATTTATATTTACTCTTGTTCATTTTTTATTACATTGGCATTGAGTTCCACCCTGAACCTGAAAAGTTTGATCCAGAACGATTTTCCGACAAAAACAAGGATTCGATTAAGCTTTATACTAATATTTCTTTCGGATCAGGACCAAGGATCTGTATTGCATCCAGATTTGGCTTATTGGAATGTAAAGTGTTGCTGTTGAATATATTATTAAATTTTGAGCTGGTTCCTACTGATAAAACGTCTATTCCATTGAAATAAGCGAGAAAATCACTGAATCATACTGCAGAAGGAGGTTTTTGGTTTGGATTGAAACGTGCCCTGAATTAAACATAGTGTACCTACTTGGTACCTACAGATATCTAAATATTTTATTTTAGTAAACTAATTTATAGTAGATAAAAAATGTAACAGCGCATTTTGTTAAATCTTCCAAGAAATATAAAGCATGTTAGAAACAAACTACGATTTTACCAAAGATATCCAAGGATTCATAAAACTTTACTGCGGAAAGAGAATTTTGCTTTGCTCTGAAAAATATTGATGAATAAAAAAGCAGAATGTGTTAAAATTATTTTTATGTTTAAAAAGGATAATAATGTAAATGTTGATATACGAAACTAATGCACACAATAAACGTTCATTTAGATTTGGATAAGAGAAATACTAATATCAGAATATTTATTACAGAAATTCTAAGAAAATGGCCTGTAGGAGAATCGTTGGATCGCATATGTACCAAACCATATATTTTACATATAGGAAATTCCGAACAGCCAAGAATAGAATTACCAAAAGACTCTCAAATTTGGATTCCAGTCCATGGTATTCATAGGGATCCCGACAATTATCCCGATCCAGAATAATTTAACCCAGAAACATTTTCTGATGAAAATAAGAATGATATCAAACCCTACCTAGAAATTGTATAGGGTCCAGATTCGCTCTGTTACAAACCAAAGTTTTACTCTACAAAATACTGTCTAAATTCCAGATCATCCCTACGAAAAAAACAAAAATTCCTCTCAAACTGTCGAAAGATTTTGCTGTGAAAGCCGAAGGAGGCTTTTGGTTTGGTCTGAAACGAATCTAAGCATTTCGTTTTATACTAGTGTGGGTTTTATGGTTTTATATAATATTCTGATTGCTAACAGCTCCTTCGAATGCTTCTTTCAAATAAAAAAACTATACTTCTGGTCGGTTTATTTCAGAAATGTTAAGAAATTGGCCTCCTGTAATCGCTATAAGGACCACATATGCACCAAACATTACACCCTGCGAACAGCTACTAAAGAAGAGAAATATATCGAATTCAAAATGAACGACATGATCTGGATTCCGACTCACGCTATTCACAGGTGTCCAGAAAACTATCCCAATCCCGAAAAGTTCGATCCAGAACGTTTCTCGGATGAAAACAAGGGCAACATTAAGCCATACACTTATCTTCCATTCGGTGTGGGTTCCAGAAATTGTATCGGATCCAAGTTCGCTCTAATGGAGGTCAAAGTACAAAGTTCAAGATACTGCTTAATTTCGAATTGATTCCCACGGCAAAAACTATAATTCCCTTGAAGGTTGCCAAGAGAGGATTAAATCACACTGCTGAAGGAGGGTTTTGGCTTGGGCTGAAACGAATCCAATCATAATTTTAAAGAGGAGGCCGGGTGGACAACTGAAAAGGTACAAGGACATTTTCCACGAAAGTTAAAGGGAATTAACATGCAGAATCAGTGGAAAAAAGCAGCTCACAATAGAACTCAATGAAGAAGGGTTGTAAATTCAGTTAACAGCGGCAACCAAAAAGTAAAGAGGCAACAAAGCAATGAGATTTTTGAATGTCCGGAGTGCGGTAGGCAGATAACATCACGTATCGGGCTTTTCAGTCACAGAAAAGCTCAGGAAAGAAAACGCCTTGCGTGACCATCTTCTTTATGTGTGTCGAATACTCGTCAGCGAGTAACGGCTGTATGTATGTATTATTTCGTTTGTTTTTCCAAATAATTTTTGAACAATAGTCGATATCTGGATAAAAAATGGTGTTTGGGTATTTTTTGATATGAGAAATTTGAGTTCGATGTCAATATGACTCCTACTTGTTGAGGTCCACTTATATATTTTTAACTGATTTGAATTGTAATAACTTTTCCTCCGTACCTGTCTACTGAGAGAAAAATATACATTTCCGTCATTATTTTCTTTTTTTATTTGCAAAAAATCCAAATAGAAATGAAACTTTCACGCACTGTATATCCGAAACCAAGCATTTTGGGACATAAACTTGTACGAACTTTTTTATTTATTTTTATATGCTGGAAAATATACTGCCGAAGTTTTCCGAATGCGGTTTGGACAACCCTGTATATTTTAGTTTGTTATAATAATAAAGTATTAAAATAATAATATATGAAAATAAAACTATTGAAACGTAAATTATAAAACGGCCATTATATAGATTTATAAAACAAATAATAACTAACAGCATTTTAGCATAATAATCAAAAAATAGTAATCAAAACTAACAGTGTTTTAGCATGCTAAATAAAAAGTTAGACTCTATGTTGGTACTGCTAGCATTGCAAAACTTGCATTTAAAGCTGTAACAACCAGTATATAAATTTCTCATTTTTTTGTAAAACAATTAATCTGTATGTAACACTAAAACAATAATAACACTTATTTATTAAAGTTTAATAAAATTGCTTGTTTATGTTTGTTACGAATATGTTGGGATTGTCGCTAAATAATAAATAAGCCTTAACTAGAAAAGCAGGAAAAAGTATAGAATTTTTTTTATTGTAGAAATATTAAGAAAATGGCCACCCTTTAGTCGCGTGGATAGAGTTTGCACTAAACCATACATTATTTCTCCTCAAACGTCTCAAGAAAAACCGATTCACTTGAAAAATAAAAAAATAATGATAATTATTCCGACGATAGCTATCCACAGGGACCCTAATTTCTATCCAGATCCAGAGAAATTCGACCCAGAACGATTTTCCGATCACAAAAATATCAACCCTTACTACTACATGCCCTTTGGATTGGGACCGAGGAATTGCATAGGTTCCAGGTTTGCCCTGATCGAGATGAAAACTCTGCTGTTCAAAATACTGCTGAATTTCGAGATCGAACCGGCTAAACGGATGATTCTTCCGTTGAAACTCGTTAAGGGTGCAGTTGGTCCCTCGACTTACGTCGAAGGAGATTTCTGGTTCACCTTTAAAAGGATTTCTTAGAAAGGCTCTGCGATATACAGTATGTCCCTGATTATCTTTACAAGAGAAAAAACATTTTTACAGTAGTGACATTTAAAAAAAATACATTTTCTTCTTACAGTGCCATACTCTATACAGAGCGTCGGCTACCTCTTGCATGTACTTGTGATGTGTGTCATCAGTGTCTCACAAGTACAGGGATCTACAGTTTATCGCCAAATCCGAACGGCGCTATACAGGGTGTTTCAAAAAACATGTGCCATCACTCAAAATTTAAGCGAAAAACATTTTTTTTGGTAGGTATTTTTCAAAGTAAAATAATTAACTTAGTTATTTTGGACTTATTTGAAAAACGGTAAAGAGAAAATGTGTTTCTTTTATCGAGCTCTAAAAATCAACCCTGAAAATATTTACCTACCCTTATTTAAGACTCAACCTGTATAATTAGTTCAATGCTACGAAAAGGGTGATAATACTTATAGGAAAATGTTATACTTGAACAACAGCAAAAAACATGACGTTAATCAAAATTAATAATAAACATTTATCAAAGAATGAAATCGAAGTGATATTACCACAAAAAGTTTTTTTAGCGTTTGCTTTTTAGCACTTAGTTAATTCAACATTATTTTCATGTTTTTTTTATTTCCTTTAAAATTGTATGGAAAGTTGGAAAAGTATAAATGGGATTAACCATTTTAGAACAAGCAAAAATGTTTATGAAGAATGCATTTTTCTCAAAATGTCAATAATAAAAGTGTCTCCTCTTGTAAAGACAATCCGGGGACATACTGTATATATCCGTTTGATCACTGTATATTTTGTACCTACTTATCAATAAAATGTTTATTATTTCAAACTTTGCTATTTTTTTAAATTATTTTTATTATACAGGGTGTTTTCAGGGCTGGCGGAAAAGCCGGGCGACCCGTGCGGCCGTCCGGGACTTTCCAAACCAATTAAAAAATATGTAGGTGGCGCCCTCTAAGAATAGGAGTCAAATTGACATCAAAATCAAATTTCTCGTTTCAAAAAACTCCCAAACACCAATTTTCATCCCAAAATTGACGTTACTTCAGAAATTAATTGGAAAAAACCGAAATAAAAATGAAACTTCTACATCTTGTATCTCCGAAACCAAAGTCCGAAACTAACAGCGCTTTGAGATGGAGCGCGAGTGGAGCGTCCGCGACTTCAAGCAAGTACAATGAGATAAACAATTTCACAGTCGCTCCGTCTGGATGACGGCCATATACATAAACATGGCATAAACACATTAATATAAAAACAAGCGGACGGTCCGTCGCGGACGTTCCGCTCCATCTGAAAGCGCTCCAAACATTTTAGGACATTTATTCAAAATTTTTGAAGTGAAACTTCTTTACGCGCTATGGAAAAATTAATAGTTTTATATTTTACTAGCGTGTACCAGCGACTTCGTGCACGGCCGCACAGAAAGCGTTTTTTTGCGTTTTTAGCATGAAGCGTCTTTTGCGTCTAAAACAAAATAACAGGATTATATAGGAGTGGCCCCAACAAAAGTTTCTAGCGTTCGGCGTATCTCGCAAAAAACGCAAATGAAAACAAATCAATTTGTTTTCTGTAGCGTTTTTAGCGTTTTCTATGAGACCCCGTCATAGGCGGACGTAATATTTAATAATGCAATAAAAATTAAATTAAATAGTATGCATTTTTTCATTTTAGGATATTATCGAAAAATATTTTTATAGAGAACATCTACTGTTTAGGAAGATTATATTAAATTCAAAAATTTGAAGGAAATGTTTGAAAAAATGTAGTTTGAAATGCTGAAAAAGTAATAAATTAAAGGAATATTTTCTTACGCGTAAAAAAATAGTTTTTTATGCATAAAAAAAGTTTTTTTACCAGAAACAATAAGTTTTTGACGCGTATAAAAATTGTTTTTTACGTGTAACAAATAGTTAGTTGCGTAAAATATTTTTTTACCAGAAACAATAAGTTTTTGACGCGTAAAAAAATATTTGTTTGTATTATGGAGTGTACCTCTACACTCCATAGTTTGTATTTAAGGGTGCTTTCAAATACAAATTTAAGTAATGCAATACTAAAAAACATGTTATTTTTATCACTAATAAATTATCATAGATTTATGATGCATTTTTTCAAAATTTACACAAAGCAACTGTTTTTTAAAATTGTAATAAAAGTAAGAAATCTTTACCTGCTTGATGGTCCATAATTCGATATGCAGATACAAATAATTCTGGGATGATTTCAGTGAATTTTGTGAACATATTATGTAGCATCTTGCCTTCTTCCTTGTGTCCATAGAAAATGACTCCAATTTTATATCTATCCTGTGTAATAAAACAATATTAATATGAACAAGTTTAAAAATAAATATTAAAGAAAAGAGCATTGTACGTATATATTTATGATAACAGCATTGCTGTAAACACATAAAAAACAGTTAATTAAGTAAGAAAACTTTCTAGTAAATCAGCAATTAGTTTGAATAAATGATACTGCCAAGACACTAGAATTGATTTTACTTAACAGTACCAGTGTTACCGGTAACAACTTCACTATGACTAAAATAAATGATGCTTTTACTCAAAATAAATTGCTTCAGCTATGGTTATACATTCTTTTACTTACCTTAAACGGAACCAATGATTGACTATTGACTGATCCTGACAAAGTTCTATTAAAGTACAACAGACTTCCTACGTAACTTCATTCGTCTTTAAAAGATACTGTTGCTTTCTTCTACGAAAATTGCTTTTTATTATAGCCCAGAATCCTTTGTAAGCATTAGAATGAACCCTATAAAACAATAAAAGATATAAATATGATGTAATCAATGTGTATTAAAACTTTACATGCCTTTATATTAAACTTATGTGCCTCTACAGTTCAAATCTTTTATAAGACAAATACGACATTGCAATGAATAGCACCTATGAATAGTATTTCATGTTTTATATTTTATAGTGTGTATTATACTACATGAGTGTTAAATTTTGAGTCAACTTTATTAAAAAAAAATGAGGGTAAAGTAAACTTACATGAGATAAACATTCAAAGGAATGATTTTTTTTCCTAAATTATTACTGTTTAAATACTTATTTTCAACTAACTGCATTATTCTCAAGTTTTGCAGATGTGCTTCGTGTATTATATAACTATATATCTATCTGTTGTCTGCCTATGTATTACATTTTTTATTTCTTTCTACAAAAATTTAATAAATGTTTATTTTTTTTATATCAATCTTATTTTATCGCAAAATGATAGGTGGGAGTTTTGTAATGCGTGTGAGAGAGATAGATAAAGCGCTAAAAAAGGACAAACTTATGCAATGAGCGCGAGAGAGAAAAAATAGACAAAGACGGAGAATAAGTTCTATGAAATTCTCATAGATGGCGCTAACTCAAAATTAGTTAAACTTTTGATATATAGATCGCGCCAGAAAACGCGTTAGTTCAGCAAGTAATAAATAGATGTCGCTTCAACTAATTTTTTAGTACCGCTATCGCAACATAGGTGGCGCTCGAGATATAAAATAAAGGACTCTGTTTCCGATAAATATTTAAAGAGCGCCATCTATGAACTCAAAATTAAAGCAATAATTAAAAAATGGTTGAAAAAGCTGCTAAATTTTCTTATTTTTTTAAAACATTAAGATTAAGATAACTAACTATATTATACATATAACTGTATACTAAAATCACAGATAACATTAAAAAATAAAAAATTAATGATACATACTTAGTAGAATTTTTTCTACCAGTCTTCAACATCAAAACGTGTTCCTATCAAGAAGAATGAGATTAAATATTATAATATATTAATGTGATATTTTTTGCAAAATGTTAAAGCATTTAGGCATTGAACTAAATAAAGTTTGTACTTCTTAACCCTTAACTGGTCCGGTAATAGATATGTATCATAAACGGTTCGGCGTAGTCTGTGGGACTACGCCTTCTAAAAAGTGAAAAAAATACACAAAAACTAAAAAATAACAAATTTTTATTTTATTATATATTATATTATGTATTATTGAACTAATATAGACAAAAATGGGTTCAATTAATATAAACTTTAAGAAAATATAGTACAAAATAAAATAACATACATATAAATTTGAAAAAAAAAACAATTTGATTTTTACTAAGCTCTAAAAAATTAAACCAAATTACTAACAGTGATTACAATACAGAAATATGTTTTTAGTACTATATATAAAAAAATAAACTATAAAACTGAAGTTAAAGAAAAGGTTTTTAGTTACAGCATGAGGCAAAGTTCATTGTTTTCCTGAACATGTTTTACAAAATGGATTCGTACATTCTAGGCATTAAAAATAATTAAACTAGGACATAACATTGTCTTTAACTAGGATAAGAACTCTGGGATAAGAATATCTCCGTGGGCGTGTTCTGGTTGTACATGAATTGCAAGTATTCTACCAATTGTAAAGTATATTTCTCTTGGAATATTGGGCATTGTCAAACGCATTTGTCTGGCAGATTGTCATATTGTCACTGTCACAGTCCTCATCATATCATTTTAATAGAGTTTCTTCATTACTAGAGTCTCCTAAACGCACTCGTTTCGAAGGCCCGGCCATATTTTACAAAAGTTTGTCAAACACCAAAATCTTACGCAAACGGTCCGGCGTCGTCTGAGAGACTACGGCTTAAGTAACTTCTGCCATAACTTCTAAAAAACTAATCCAGTTTGGGCATAAATATGGCTATCAGTAGTTGACCGAGAGGGGGAGGATTAGCTGGAACGCCAATTGTGTGGGCGGTCCCAGTAACTAATGAGAATGAGTTAATTATTTGGCGTAGTCTGTCAGACGACGCCGGACCAGTTAAGGGTTAAACATATTAAAGCAGCAAAAAATGTGACTAATCAGAATTAATAATAACCATCCTAATAAATTCATCTAAGTATATCTTCATATATTTTCTTGCAAAAGAAAACTTACATCTTTTGAAGGTGAAAATTGTTTGAACACACCCAGTGCCTCAGTGAAGTAGTATTTGCAGTGCCGTGTTGCCAAGTACCATTCAAATAACTCCTTGAAAACTAAGTGCAGATTTCCACAAAAACAATAAATTTTTCATTCCTTAAATGTAAAAGAAATTAATATTGTTCTTTGATTTTCTCTTTGTATAACTCGTAAGAGATTATAACAATAAACTAAACATTTGATTTTAATAATTACCTTTTATTAATTATTAAACAAGCCATGTGTTACAAGTTTATAACTAAAGCACCGTTTTCAAGCCCTGTTCTCAGAACTGCGACTGTCGCCAGCGACACGACAAAAGAACCAATCAGATTTGTACAAAATTCAAACAGCTGTCAATTTTAAATTTAGTACAGCTCCCATTGGTTGTTTGAAATGTCAAACTGTGTCGCCCGCGACATGACGTTGTTCTGAGAACGGGGCTTCAGAACGACGTCGTGTCGCGGGCGACACGTCAAAAGGACCAATGAGATTTGTACAAAATTCAAACAGCTGTCAATTTTAAATTTAGTACAGCTCTCATTGGTTGTTTGAAATGTCAAACTGTGTAGCCAGCGACACGACGCAGTTCTGAGAACGGGGCTTTACAATTCACTGTGAACTGTCTAATGTCATCATTTCCGGCATTGACAGTATAACATAACAAAATTTATTAAATTTCTAAGTTACGAGGTTAGGCAACTATACATACAGGTGTATCGTGGGTTGCCCACTATATAATACTTTGAATATAAATATAATACCATATTATACATCTCCCCTTACAAGTTTAATTTTTTTGGTTTATTAACTACACGTCCATATCTAGAGGTTTGAACTCTTGTATTATCAGTCAATAAT